GGAACCGCTCTATATCGACTTTTGGAGATCAAAACTATCATATTACAAAGCCCGAATCTTTTATTGTTTATTTGTATTTATTCTAGTCATTCTTCACTTTTTACCTAAGAAGTTATGGACAAATCGTACGATTGTGACATTTTTAAGTATTATCACGATAACTACAACCAAACAAAATTTAAATAGGTGAACAAATAATATGTTAACTAGAAAGCGACATTGTTGTGCATTTATAACATGGAAAACTGTCAAAATCTTATTTGGCAAGTTTTTATTTGCTTTCAAACAAAATAAAAGAATGTGTGGAACTGAACAGAAGAACGAATATATGGCTTTCGTAGTTCTATTGACTAGTAAACAATAAATCATGAAAATTCTCGTTTTTACTTCTATCTGATTATAAGAAACATATTTCATCTTATTCAGTTAGTATTTATCAGCAATGGATTTTTCAGGCTTTAGCTTAGACTCATCCTGACGTACATTAGATTTTTTGTACCTAACCATCAATTTTTTAACAATCTGTCACCAATGGTCTCTAAATGTTGTGTGTCTGTTGAGCTGAAATGAAGTTTATAGATTAAATATTTAAGTTATAACTTTCTTTATTTCCTAGAAAGGCCATTTTCCTGTTGATTGCTTTTACTAGGTTTGCTAGTAAGGGTATTTAAAATATAATTTTGTACGAATATAACTGTGTTTTATAGTAATTATCATACAAAAGTTATGAGGGATTTTAGCTTCATCATAGATTAAATGATATTACGTTGCTCCCTTGACTGGATTAATAACTTCAAGTAGAAACTATCAGTTTAGTAAATTTTTTCATAACTTGGTTTACTAATCTGTGTCTTTAAAAATTATTGATCATAATTATTCACATGATCTGTTGAAGCCTCATACAACAATCAGTTCTCCTTCTGAACTGAGTTACTATATCGTTTTTAGTAAAAGATATTATTAAGTTTAAATTACTGAATGTAGTTTATAGTCAAACAGATAATCGTCAGCTCGTTTAGTAAGTTGTTAACGTGAGATATTAGAATTTTCCTCAGCGCTTTCATGTTTTCATGCTCGCTCGGAGAGTTGGTAATCCTGGATATGCCTAGAATAGTGCCCATCTATTGATGAGGTATTTCAGACGACATAATAACTGCTGATTGCTTCGATTCTTCCCACGGTTTTTAGTTGATTTAAGCTTTCAAAGAACACCCTCTTCAATTTGAACAACTTGAATTCAAAGTCTAAATATTTGATTCGTGATAGTTAGCTCAATTGGATAATCACAGTCTAGTATCATCTGGAAAACTCAACGCAGGATTGAGAGAGAGAAAGCTCTCAAATGACAGTCCCAGACTAGGAAAAAAACAGTTCTCCGATCTTTTCTGGTTCACAACGATCATCCAAATTACGTTGATCCTTTATGAAAACAGTCTGTTAAGTAAGTTGATTACTGGCAACAATAAGACTTCCTTTAGATTGTTTATTAAACCTAAAAATATTGTGGTTGTTTACAAAAACAGTAACCAAAATGAGACTTTCTGAGGGTTTATCTTATGATACAAACAGCTACAAACTCAAAGACATCATGCAGATCGTACTATCCACATGATTTGAAACCAAACGTTTTACCAAGTTAAGTACTTTAATGGAGATTTTAGCACTAACAATCAACTAGGATTAAGAAATTATGATTGTAACTGAACATATAAATTGCCAAACATCGGCAAGTCTTTAGTAGTCACCATGGTTTCCAAGAAACCTTTAGTTATCCTGATCTTGTATGACCTAATGACTGTATGGTGCTGAGTATCCCAAACAAGAATGAAACAAGTGAGTAAATCTCTTTAGCTTCATCGGTTCTTTAAGTCATATAAATCAAAAATAAAAATCATGTTTAATTTAGAAATAACTATTTTATAACTACGCCTGTAGCACTTCTAGGGTTACTAACGGTCCCGAACCCAGGTAAAGGAGGGGGGTTGGGCATGGGGTCAACAACCCCGTCCCGTAGAAAAGACTTTGCTAAAAAACGTTAACCAGAATAAACATATTAAAACACTTAAACTCTGCCGTCCGAGTTGAAAAAAGAATTATGACGCTTCATGGTGAAAGCCAAGATCATTCAGAAGTAACGAGGCGAATGCCCTCCATAACAACCAGTGAGACAATTAATGTAGGTACGCGGAATTTTCGGACAATGCAGGAGACCGGGAGAACCTGTCAAGTAGCTATGAAAATGAGGAGATAAAACCAAACGTGCTCGGAATCAGTGAAACCCATTGAACTTAAACTGGATAGCAGAGGCCAGATACGTCAGAAATGCTGCTGTAATCCAGTCACGAAGACGAACATGCTCCACACACTTAGGGACTTGCTCTGATGCTGCTCAAAGAATCACGAAATGCTCTTATAGGATGCGAATCTCATAAATCTAGGATCATTAAAGTACTATTCAAAACAAATTTTGAGGAAATGACAATGAATTGTATCCAGTGTTATACACCAACCAATGACAGAAATGATGAGGATGAAGATCAGTTTTGCGAGAGGCTGCAGTCAATCATAGTAAAGTGCTTGGGAAAAGACCTGACCATCCTGATAGGAGACCTAAACGCCAAAGCCGGAATGAACAACAAGGGTTATGAAGATATAATGGGACGACGTGGACTGTGGGAATGGAAGAAAAATGATTAGATCACCACCTGGTGTTCGCTAAGATGAAACCGAAGCCAACAAATAAGGACTAAACAACTGGAGAAACAACAGCACAAAGGTTCAATACAGCCTTCCTTCAAGATACTAACAAAATAAACAAATTCAAGATAGCTCACTACATCAGGTTCCAAGAGTTCCATGATCTACTTGAAGAAGAAGAATCTACTATGGAGGACGACTCTTGGAATCAGTATGGTCATCAGACAAACCAAGAGTGGGAAATCAGCAAGACCTGACAATATACCAGCTGAAGCACTAAAGTCAGATATGGAAGTAATTGCAAACATGATTTACACTCTATTCAGGAAGATTTGGAGGAAGAATAGGTGACAATGGCCTGGAAAGAAGGACACCTCATCAAGATACCAAAGAAAGGAGAGTTGAGCGAGTGTGAGAACTATAGAAGCATCACAATACCATCGGCACAATTAAAGGTTTTCAATGATGTTGCTGAATTGGATGAATGATTTAGTAAACGTCCAATTTCGAGGTCAACGGGATGGACTCCGTGAGGATTGATTGTGCACAGACCGACTCGTGGTAGTACTATCGATAAACCTTTTTTTCACATTAACAGCATGGTTCCAGAAAACGTCTCTCTTGTATAACTGACCTAACTGCGGTTGACAGATGGACAACCATCCCTGGTCGCACGGGAAGGGTTGATGTTACATACCTTGACTTCTCAAAAGCTTCTGATAGTGTTAATTATACATGCCTTATCAATAAGCTCAAACGATTAGGTGTTGAGTTACCCTTAATATATTGACTTACTTCACATCCAAATTACCAACTTCTTAGGGTCAGAGTAAACTTAACTTTCATCAGGTCACGTAATGTTCATGTGGGGTCCCTCAGGGTTTACCACTAGTATATTTTATTTACTTAATTTACACAAACATTGTTCTTCAGCAGGTATCGTCTGATCTGTTATTTTTTCACTGATGATGTGAAACTTCGGAGAGAAGTTTGCGAGCAAGATGATAAGCTGGCACTTCAGGAGGATCTGGTTCGACTTTAATAGCGGGCAGATTACAACGAACTTTTAGCACTTCAGTGTAAAATAGTCCGAGACATGTCACGGACCACGTACACGATTTAGGCAGCTACCTTCCAGAGTTATCTCAAGTTAAAAGGATCTAAGGGTCTTGGTACCACACTTTCCAAAGTCTTACGCTAATTGCGACAAAAATACTATTCGAGCAAACCTTGCACTGGTAGCGCTGAAGCACATTTTGACTGGTTTAATGGTAAAATGTCCACTTAACCTTCAACATCTTTGTTCAGCCTCTTTTAGAGTATGGAAATATAGTGTTTCTTCCACCCATCAAAAAGGATAAGGATGCATTAGGAAATATCCAACGGCGAGAGGGGAAACCAGTTCTGGGACTCAAATTCGAGTCTTATACAGAGAGCCTTAAATCATTGAATCTTTGCTCATTACAATATAAGAGTCCCAGAGGTAACCTTTCAACGACGTACAAAAACCTTGACACTCTTTGTTATCCCCTCAAATATTCAATTAAGCCCAGTCCCAACAGAAAACTTGGAGATAACACCCAGAAATCAGGGAAATGACATAGCAGAACGGACTGTAGGAATATGTTGATTAAAAGTATTCAGGTTACTGTACTAACTAGTAATTCCTGAAATAGTACAGCAGTTAGTAATGGATGGGCACAAATGAACGTATTATACTTGGAATTCGTAATCAGCGGACTATCATGTACAAAAGAACCATAGGATCATGGAAACACCGCAAGAAGCACCTTCCATTCCTTAAGAGCAGTCAAATTCCTGAATTTTATGCCTGCTAATGCGGTTCAAGTGAATTACCAGGAGTTATTTAGGAGAAAACTTGACATATTTATAAGGACAAAGCATATTATCTCAATATTATCTACTAATATTTCCCTCTCTTATCATTAAACATACCTAAGTTCCTACTCAGCGGCATCGATGATCGACCAAAACAAAATATGAAAGGCCATTAAGCGAAAGCTTATTCTATTCTATCGAAAATCATTTGTATATGTGAATCACATCGAAGAGTTTTCTCAAGGCGCCTGGTTCAACTGTGACCTCGAAACTCAAGGTAGTTCACTAGGCTTAGCTTATACCCGTCCTGTTTTTCTGCCCTGCAGACTACTTATTCTGAGTCAAAAAACTGACAACATCAGTTGCTGATCGGATATCCGTTGGTTGAGCACAACTTAGTTTATACAAAGTCGACTATTTGAAGGTTAGATTCATTTGAATAATATTGTTTAGATCACTTTCTAATGAATAATCCAATTGAACCGTGCGAATCTGTTGCAATTACTGACACGTCCACCTTGCAAAATACCGTCAAAGATTTATGTCACAGGGTTTGTTCCCTTTCTCACTAATTTTCGTGAAATAGCTAGAGAAAAACCCTTTCGATTATAATTCACACGTACAACTCATCGAGTGTCTACGAAAAATAGGCGATTTCAAGAGACTCAAAACTGCGCGTGAGCGTATGCACGAAACCTATCCACTTACTCCAGGTAATTTAAATATTGTGAAAGTGTTTCCTGACTGTTTGTTAAGTGTTGTCTTTAACTTATACAACCTGTCTAGTTTATTTTAGCCATATAATATCGGTACGATGCTGTATTTTGTGGGTCTCCATAAGTTTCGCGGCAAAACGTAACACTTTCAGTCTCAGTAAGGAAACAAATCAGAAAAGTCTGTGCTTTCTTTGGAATAAGAATTTCCCAATCCTACGTTTTGAATATATTTAATAGACGAGATCTAATAATTTATCGAAACTTGAATTCCTCCTGGTAATTCTTTGATGGGGTTCGTAGTAGTTGTTTCGATGTTTGTGAACGTTTAATCAGTGTCCATTTAATTTGGAAGATGAGAGTGGCGAATGTTCCGGTCAGCCTTATTACTTAGTAATCTGGTTTGTTTGGCCTAGCTTGGATAGTCTTCCATTAGTCTGAGGAATCAACGATAACATCATTCGGTCACCTTCACTGAATAGCGAAATGTAATCGAGGATTGTGACAACTTCCTTACCATTTGTTTATGTAGTGTCTAATAACGATGACTTCGAGTTCGAGTATTATTCCGTGGACTCTTTTACATGTGTTGAATCACATGATGTCATTGTAGACCATATTTTACTTCATAAAGTTATCTAATGGTCCTGTCATTGGATTTCTCCGGTCTATTATGAATGCATAAGTCCCCTAAGATTAGACTTGCCAATAGGAGACTGAGTACTACACTTACCTAGCATTATATTGCTTGTTTGAATCTGAGCTGCCGTAAACACGACTGACCAGCAACTCTTATCTTCCATATTTCAGGTTTAAATAATAGCGATTCTATACAGTGATTCACGTTTACATAGAAGAACAAGTTACTGCCAAAGCCCCATCATCTAAATATTTTCTGTCACAAGGCATGTTTTCTGCAGCTTGAAGCCGAAATTAGACAACTTCAGCCACCTGATTTTTAGACAGCAATTGAAAAGTGTTTAAGTATATACACCTTAGACTCCAGCTTGTGATCACTTTATTATTAAGTTCTTTTCGTTCCTGAACTTAAAGGAAGATTAGACAATGTTACTGAATAGGGCGTTTAAGTTCAATGTGCGGGTCCGCAGCTTCTTAAAATTTAAGGAAAGTTAATTTTACGGTATTAATTTACCAAGTAGCTCTTTGAGTAGGTCTACATTATCCCGAATGAAATTTTTAAACTATGAGTCATTATTCTTGAGTTTGTGGCAAATGACCAATGTGTTAGATGTTTAAACATCGGGCTTTTAACTATATCTGGCGAAATTCTCTTTTCAGTCAATTGTATGCCAGTTCTGCTTCTAGGACCTGACATACCTTTCTGACTAATATCGTCAGATTATTTCTGGCTACTGCTTAAGTTGTGCAGTACTCAAGAAACTTGTTTTGCGGCTTTCCGCTTGTTACTTATTCGTCTTTGACTCATATGGAGGATTCGACACTTGCTTGTCCCTCATCTCTATGTTTACATATGGCAATCGCGCTTCGATTGACTTACTGTCGTTGCTGACTTCCTGCTTGTTTGTATCAACAAAATCCTTCTTGTAACTGTGACTTATAAATACATCTACAGTTAGCATTGCTGCTGAGTAGACTATGATTGTTTAAACGGCACTGCTTAACAGTTATGTGGAACTCGGTTAGGTGTACAATTTATTTTTCAGGTATAAGGTTTGTTCAAACATCGTGAATCCAACCTTTGGATTCATCACATGCCGTTCCTCGCTGGTTAGCGACGATCCACGTCAACGGTTTATTTTTGGAAACTTCAAGAAGTTTTCAGATAATATCTCAAAAACTTGTTACACAATGGTGCGAAATTAACCAAAAATTTATCTTACCCATTAAAGGAGTACGAGTGCCCCCAAATGCCCTGGTACGGCCGAGAGTGGGGGAACTCTCTCTCCCTCTCGAAATGCTCTCACATGGCCACGCGTATAAAGCCTCTTCCAGGGAAGTCCTACTCACTGCCTTCACGTGGCCGGGGTGTTGTTTACGCAAATAAGAGGACGAAAAGCGAATGTCCGGCGCTTTAACTGGATTCCAAACCAATGGTGCTCATGGACTCCAGTATCTTGAAGGAACAAATGGGGTATGAACCAATTTTTGGTCACCGGCTTCCATGGGATTGTATCTCCTTACGACGCTCCACTGCCTTGTGGATCAGACCTTCAGGTCAAAGGCTCTGGGTGTGGCCTCCTAAGAAAACCACCTGCTTCGGTTTGGGCACCCGGGGAGTATCACAGCCCTTATACATATCGAATAAGATTTGTGTGGCGTATATGTATTTGGTGCCTCCTTGTACCAATATCTGTGTTAAAATAAAATAAAAAGGAGTACAAGTATAAACTATTTCAAATACTCTCCTTGATACCCTTATTTCATCTAAATAAAGCGAAACAGTAGCTTCGATGTTAAATTTATCATAAGTAAGAATCTTACTTAACGAGAATAAATGCAATTGATTTTTAGATAGTCCACACTTCATTGATGCGATATAGCTAAAGTGTATCATAACTCATGAACTTTGCTTCTTATTTAAGTGCTGTGATGGCGGTTGCACCGGATTTTCGTTTTAAAGCAGACTTACTACAAACTTTTGTCGTGATCTGTGGTTTATGGACTAATCCATTTTATGGCATCTGGTTACAATTCAATAAGCTTGCCTTGTTTAATCACTAGATTTCACCCATACTATTACTTAAATTTTCTAGCTTCAACTTGTAACAAGTGATTGTGTTGCCTTTAATCTATATTTTTACCTATCTTTTCCAGCACTGTGGCTTCAATGGATCGAGGATGAGCTTAATAATGCTTCTACACTTGAAGAGAAGCGACGAGTGGAAATTCTTTTTAAACGTGCGATTGATGATTATGAAGGTCAGAAGCTGGGTGTACCTTTCATACTTTTGATATTACTCCTGCCTTTCTAATCATGTTCTGATTCTTTCAGTATTGCTTCAACGTTGATGAACGTTTAAAGTGAAGACTTTTGAGGTTTATAAATTATAGCATCTAAAGTAAAAAGAAGAAACTGTGGTATCGCACCGAAACGGAAGTTAATAGTTAAATGACGTTTATCGATTTGTCAGATTTACAAGTGGATACAACTGATGTGAAGCACTTTTAGAATAATTACAATTGATTTTGCAAACCTTTCTAAAACTGCTAATGTGCATTAGTTTGACTTGTAGCAGTAAGCTTCAAATGAACAACTAATCTGACTATATTTTGAGTGTGAATATGGTACTTGTCAAGGCATTTTTCCGAGTGTATTCATAATGTATGAAGTTTACGAAAGTATTCTGTTCTATGGCAGTAGGTATCTGTTAGTGTGCTCAGTGATTACTTATTTTTGACTGAAGGTTAAAATCTAAGACCATCACTTTATTGTGTTAGTGGGAACTCCTTGCACTCAAAATCTAATTTTTGTAGTGTATAATGTCTTCAGTTTGGTTCATTTCATGACTAAGATAACAGAACCCTGAATTGGATTTTTACTGCAACTTCTGTCGGTCTCCGAATTCGAACTTCAAAGGGATAGCAACATTCACCTGTCCAAGTTATCTAAATTCTTTATATTGTATTGTAAAAAAACGTTGTAATAGTAAAATGAAGCATATGTGCAAACAGATAATAAATAACGATCATTTATAAAAAGATAGAAATCGGTATCTATTTGTGTTGATATGATTTATTATAAACCATATGCTCTAGCGAATTCCGCAACTAGTTTTGATTTTTGGACTGCCACAGTTTCGAAATTCTCTTTATTAATTAAACCAATCACTGACTACTTTTAAGATTCATATTGCTTCTCGATGTAGTCACTTTTAATCCTTACTATTCCTACTATAACCTATAGTTCCGCTACTTACTGACCCCCGCTCATGCGGCATATATTTCATTCATCAATCGGACTTCTAACTGTGTCGTAGATTCCATTGTCAGGTAATACCCGAATATATAATCAGTATTGAGAAACCTACAAGCTAACAAAAACTATCTTTTAGTTCTTAAGTACCCACGATAGAAAATTGCAAGGAAAATCGCAATAAAAATTATTATCACTAGGGTGATCTAAAGTTTTTCAACTTGTTCTTTTCTTTTTAGTTTTGCAAGGGGTTGCTGACTTCCAATATTCCTGTTGCGCCATGCTCACTAAAAGCAAGTGCTTGAGGAGAGTAAAATAACCTGTTCACTTAAATGAAGTGCTAGTATTCCAGCGAACCTCAACCTAATAAATATTTTAGCTTATATATAGTCAGATGTTCCATCATGTTTTTGTAGGGAATCTAATTTAAAAAAATAGTATGGAAAGTATATTACTTCACTGTAAATAACAATAAAAAATTTGATTTCGTTTTCTTATAGATATCAATGTATGGTTGGAATACTGTCACTTCGCAATCTCTACTTCGGATTTTAGTTCTGCGGATAGTATAAAGCAAGCGGAAGTCATTTTTGAATCTGCTTTGTCACATCAAGGACTTAATGTTGTTGGGGGTTCGATGCTATGGGAGATCTATCGTGAATATCTCACTGTAGTGTGGTCTCAGCTACCACAAGATCATAAGGTTAGGAATATCTGTTTGCTTCATCAAAAATGTAACAGTTTATTTTTCTTATCACCTTTTAACCTTTGAGTATTTCACACTGTGGCACATCTTTATTATTCACGAGTCCTCCTCATATGTTCAAATAACCTATTATTTTGTCTATAACTTCCATATAATCTGATGTATAGTTCTCTCTTCTCAACATAATTGTTGAACGTGATCAACCTAAAGCCATTTACTGTTTATTAAACAGGAATCATTAAAATTGAAGCAATTTCAGTGCTTACATACTTCTTAGGTTATCTTGCAATATAGTCTAAGAACATAATTTGTTTATGATCTAATATTTTCTGTGTTAGGCTGCCTAGTGTATTTGTAAATTAATTCTTTGTCAGTGTGTAAAAATAAATTAATAAATTAAATAGAATTTTAGAAAACCCGTAAAAATTTGTCGTCATATAAATCATAAGCGCTGCTGTCAAGAGTAATGCAAATTTTTAACTGCTACCGGTTGATTTTACATTTATTAAGACTTATTTTCCGATTAGATGTTTGTGTGTTTTGTTCTAAGCCACTTTTTGTGTAATGAGTATTGGTGCTTTCCTGCTGCTGATAGCCGTTTACCGAGTACCGATTTGCATATCAGTAAAGTAGTCCGTACGTTTGTCAACTTCAATCTGCTGGACGAAAGTACTAGTGAATGGGAATCAGCCAGTCACAGTTCCCCTTACTCCTCATCTTTATATAATAGAATAGTACAGCATTAAAATTAACTGTCAGGTTTTAAATCAAATGGTTGAGTGCGTTTGTGATTGTTAAAATTGACATTAGAGTAACAATGTATTAATCCTTCATTCTGTAGATTTCCATAATAAACCTTTGGTTGGTCATTCCAAACAAAACTGACGATATTACTACTTTGGTTTGAGCGACTGCGTACTATAATTAGCTTTCATACTGAAGTATCTAGTGAATTAGTCAATTTAATTAAAAATATGATTCGCAATTGGTTTTCTATATTTGGAGTGGGAAACAATTTATCATTTTTTTTGTTTAATTAGGAAATGAAACTAGAACAACTGAATAAAATGGACCGTCTATTTCAGCGTCAACTCAGCATTCCACATTTGAGTAAGCTATTTCTGAAAAAATCTTTCAATCACCTTTACATTTCTCCCAACTGTGATTTTGAATCCAGGACCTTTGGTCTCTCGCGCGAAAGCTTAACCCATAAACCACTTAGCCGGCATCCGATAGTGTTAATGTTTAACTTCAACCAATCCGCGATGTCGCACGACCGTCTTCAATTGTCTTCGGTGGGTAACTGCCCCATGCCTGACACGGTTGAACATTGATCGGCTCGTGAATTTAATGAAATTCAGCATTCTCCACAATCCAAAACTAAAAATCTAAACAACTATTGCGGCCATCTTGTTGTACCTAATTAATCCTATCAATAAGTACTATTAATTAATAAACAAAATACACCATTCTCCGTTTCTCCGCTTGTCCATTATGCTGCAAACATGAGCATTTGGTTCCTCGTAACAATAGGTTAGGAGCTAATTGTTCAACGATTTTGATAACCTATAAACTGCAACTCAGGTTTCACAGTCTAACTGCTTTCGAAATTCCACTTTGATGAAGATTGAACTAGTATTTCTGTTTATTTTCCAGTGTATACTCTACTGCAGATCTGGATACTTATTTAAATATTCAGCAACATCATTGAAACTTTCGAATTGAATAGCCAGTTGTTGAATGCATTCTGTTACACATACCAGAAAAATAGTCGAACTCTACCGGTGTAAGACAAGGCCTATATTCATGAAGTTATTGTTTACTCTTGGAATCCCTATGGGAGGAAGTGTGTACATCATTTGGTGATCAGGTTTTATAACATATCACACTAGACAGAAAGTCTAATGTTTTTAGCCGCCTAAACACAATAAAATAACGTACATTCTTGCTCTATAAGTTCTGTTTTTATTGTTCCCCAATTAACTTTTTCACCTTTGATAGGATTTTATTTTCCCCTTCATTATAGATATGGAGGAGACATTAACTGAATATAAAACTTTCCTGTCTGATATTGGTGTAGAACTATATCAACCAAGGGAAAATTCAGATTCCTTTGTACCACAAGAAATCAAAACGGAATATGAGAAAGCTTTAGAGCGTTTGGCTGTTATTTTACCATTTGAGGAATCCATAGAAGTAAGTAGGGTAAATGAGTTACTTTGTCAAGGCCTGTTAAGGGAACTGTTTATAAACCTTAAATGCATGTGTAAGCTATGCGAAGATTCTCCACACAATACTTTATTGGCGAAATATTTCTTGTTTTATCCCATCAGGGTGCTCACTAAACAGCAAGTGGCAAGAATATTTCTAGGCCATCGGTAGTAGCGTGCAGATTTGGTGCCTATACATTTCTGATATGTTTTGTGCTATAAACTATAAGAGTGGCCCATTTCTTTACCGTTTACACTCATGTTATAATCACAAATTTTTAAAGCAAAATTTCGTTGGAAGACGATAAGATGAAGTTGATCAAATAGTGGACATTGAAAGTACTTAATGTTATCAGGCTGCAACCTTGAACGTCCTTATGACCTTATTGATAAAAGTAGTCATCATATGTCATGGTTAACATAGAGCCTGTGACAAGTGTAATTTAACCGATATTATCACCCTTCATATTAGGATAGGGAAAGAATATTAACAAGCTTAAAATCAAATGAGCTGGGATATTAGCACTAATATTAGTTTAAAAAAGCATGAGAATTAATTTTAGTGATTATGGAGGAATCAATGCATTTGTGCCACTATGATCGATTTAATAACATAAAAAGAAGGGGAAGTAAATTAATTGAGAAAAGTGACGTTTATTCATGAGGATTGAGCACATTGTTAGAAACATCTAACCTACCTACCTACTCTATACAACGTCTGACATTACAGCTTTAATCTTCAACTGAGAAAAGTTCAAAATGAACTCAATGTATTAGACGAATAAAACGAGGGAAAATTATACAATCTGGGAACAGATCAATGTTGACCCATAAAATTAGATTTGAAAAAATATAAAGATTGTTCTTAGGATGTTTAATTCAAGCTCTAAGGTCACAGGTCTAAATCTCGCTCGACCTACTTCCATTTAAGAAACCAGTAAATTTAAACCAAGTACACAAATGTATTCCATTAATTTCGAGTCATAAGACCTCAAATTTCTAACTGCTGCTACTATCTCTCTCTTCACCCTGACCAAAGCACTTGCTGTTCCATAACACTCGTCCGAATTAATGAATCAGAACATGTCTACTTATTCAATCAATCAACAGTTTAGAGTTGAGTGGATTTGTTATATTATTCTCATGTTTTAAACGATAGAGTTGACGTAGAGGTTGCGTGCACTAAAATATTCATTGTTGTTGCTATTTTTGGTGGTAATGTCTTTTCAAGGTATTCTCATATATTAGAAGTGATTTTTTACTACGCTTATTTTATTTAAGGAATCTACTGACAAGTCAGAAGCGGAATCTGTTTCCAGTTGGAATACGTATATTGATTGGGCGGTTCATTGTGCAAAACGAAAAAAGCCTAAAACATCTAAAATACTGATAGTAAGAATAATGAGAACACTTCTAACAATTTTGTTGTATCACCTAATGAGTTATGCTGTCTTTTCGAGCGTGCTATTACAGCACATTGTTTAGATACATCTTTTTGGATACGTTATGCAGACTATGTGGTAAGTTGTTTATTATTTCAAATGAATATCAACAGTATTTATTTTTTTACAGTTTAGTGTTTCACCAGTACAACCTTCTAGTAATAATCAAAATAATGTTGTATACAAACTTGAAACAAGTAACTAGAAAAACAATAAGTTGGAACTATCAATTCAGTATGTCTTGAACTACCATTCGATCTGTTTATCATATATTGCTTTTAATGAATTGAATGAGACTGAGTGGTTCGATTGTTAGTGGTTTCTGTTTACTTGAAAACAAATAGTTGATCGAGTGAAAAACAAAAACGTTTCTACATTGTCTTTCTTGTTTTGTGTGGATACTCGGGTTTTCGAATACGTTTTTCCTTTTATATGTCATGATTGTTTGTTGTTATTTACCAGACAACCGTAACCTAATTGAATTGGATCATTCAATAGACATTAATGACCATTAAACCTGAATATACGCTATCATGGAATATTATTTATCTCAGGAATAATTATCACGGAAAATATACATTGAAATGTTATCTTATTTTAAAGGAAAAATACTCATATGTTTATAAGGTAATTCGGCATCAGTTCGGTTTAGCGAACATTTAAAGTGTAGTTATATCGTGAATTAGATCACTCTTTTTATAGCAGCTTATTTTAAATATTAACAGAACACTGTATTCTTTGTAGTGAATTGTTTATTCTCTTCCTCTGTGGCATTATAACTCAAACCGAAATCAGTGAGGCGGGTTTCAGACCTGTGATCTGTTAATTTAAAGTGGAGTATTTTTATCATTAAGACATCGATTTACGTATTCGTCGATCATAACTTGGAAATCAACGAACAATCGTTGTACCGTTTGATACTGTACGAAACATTAGTACCGTCTCTCGTTGAGTATGAGATTGTAATTCTTGTTCGGAGTCAAATTATAAGAATAGGAACTTATCTGTTCTAGTTTTAGTGTGGCTTAAATGAACTCCAAAATACAAAAAAACTTGTACTAAGTTGATTAGTGGGAACAGTTTAAAGTATAACTGATAATTGTAGTAAGAACGCCAAATTCAGTAAAAATTCATGTATTGTTTTTTTAAATAAAACTAGTATAGCTAAAAATAAAGGACGTGAATTCGTCGAAGTTGTAAAAGGATTTTACAGGGTGCAGATACATGAATATCGTGGTTTTTATTTACTATGAAAAAGACTATATTTATCGCTTGTCGTCTGGAGACTCTGAACAGGTTAACTAATAGTGGTTACTGGTTGTACAGTTTTATTTATTCTTCTGTTCATTCAAAAATTTCAGTAAATTGTTCACTGCAAATACCTGCCATCAACTGTAAGTTCGTTAATAATTAAAAAAAAACGATGGACATGTTTCATTTAAATTTCGGACTTCTCATGCACCCACAACCTCAGTTTGGTTCTAGACCTCAACCTTCAGGTTTTGTGGCAATTGCGTTATCTTAAGTTAACAGCCATAATCCCGTGACCCACTTGTCATGGTGTTTAAAAATCGTTTGCTGATTTCATTGATGAATCATCCGCAAAGCCAGTCAAATTAGGTTATATTTACTTCATAAGTCAGCCGCTCACGGGTAATCTTTGCGAATTAAAGTTTGGAATGACGCATATTGTTACATATTCTTTTCGAGCTTTTTCTAAGAATTCTGCTATCTTTAGCCCCTAGACAACAAAACTCTCGTAATTGCCAAAAAACTTGGATATAAATGTTGTAGGCTCCGTGATTTCAGTCACTTGTGTTTTTCAGCAATCGACCTTCTACCAGGAGATTCGCTTGTGGACTTAGGAAATGCAGATGATATAGCTCTGCTAGATAAAAATACTGACAAAATAGTCTTTTAACTTCCTTCCGTAATAAAATAATGGTTTGCAGAATGCGATTCTCTCCCTCTAAGTACAGGCTTGTTTGAGAACTGATGATAGCGAGTGAAGTAGTTGAGCACGTCAACCACTTTACTTTCTGTCCGTCTTATTAGACCCAGTTGGTTAGTGTCTGACATCTCACCGTGGATTCAGAAAACTCGGTTAAGTTTCGTCCACTTAAGCTGCTTGAGGTGTCGGTGAGATGTCAACCAAGAGATAAGTTCACTAAGTAGTAGTATGCTTTGTTTTACTTTATGACTGAAACAGTCTTCAAAATACAGTATATTAATAGGCTACTAGTACTTGATCATAGGTGTTTTCAAAACATTGTTCATATATGCTGCGATCACTTATTGAGCAATGTTGAAGTTAGGTGCAGGGCATTAGATGAAAATGGCAAATCAGTTAATGAGGTATTGAAACTTAAACAGCTACGATGGTTGAGATATTTGTTACGTATGTTGAACTACCGTCTAACTCGACGGGCGCTTTTGTTTGGTGTAGGAGTGAACCGGAAGAAAGCTAGTGGCAACCAAATCAAGACGTGGAATCAGTCCATCAGATTACTGATCAATGAAATTCACCAGTAAGTCGGTAGGTCCAGGCTAAACTACCTGGGGTGTGCTTCATTACCAATTAATAGTTAGAGACTTTGGGTGACACGACATTGTTTGAAGTGGCACAGGTGCACTCATATTTTGTCTTCACTAGATCCTACGTTTTAAAATTATTTTACCTTTTTTCGCATTCCACTGGTCCATATTTTCCCTTCGAATCATATTTTCTATACGTAATCTTTTCTACTACAATTGATACAGTTACTAATTCTACTACTCTGGAAATTTAAACGGACATTAACATATATTTACAGTTTCGTACAGTCAGTCCTCTTGAAAAGCTTTTATAGCGTAAAGAAACCTCTGTTTTGGGATAGAGTGAACCCATTTTATTTCCTCTACTATTATTCTACGAATACTCAATAGTTTTATAAATTCGATCTTATGTGAGACGCCTATTACGTAATTCAGTTTGCTAGTAAATAAAGACCATGATTACTTTCAACAACATCTGATACACTTTCGACGTAATTATGCTCTTACATTTCCAGGAATCTCAGCTAGAAACGGATGTTCTGCGTTTGCAAACGTTATTGTCTCGATCAGTTCGTAATTGTCCTTGGTGTGTCGAGTTATGGCAGCGTTATGCATTAGTCACTGAAGCTGTGATTCTTGAAAATATCTCATTCAAATCAAATACCAATGGAACACAACAGGAATCTGTTTCCAATGAGTCTGATCTATTTAAAGAGGTTGATGGTATGCTACTTTGAAAAAATTGTTTTGTAGTTATTTTAGTCATATTACAGTTAAGTATAACGCCTAATGATGATATATAGGTTAATATATGGGAATTAGTGAAATACACTAAGTATTGTCTGTAGTCTTAGCGATGTTAATTGTCACTGGTAACTAAATTAAGCTGATTGATTGTAAAATTCCGAATATCATAATCGACTGTCGACTATGCAGTGAGGTTCAAGAAGAAAAAAGATCAGTATTTTTTTACCTTATAAATTTCTTATGTGTTTTCGTAAGTAATTCACTGTTCACTTATACTGTCCATTGTCTTTTGACATACTTTTCTATATAAGTCGAAGTAAACAAACAATTTCACACCTCGTATGTAATTGATTTCGATTAAGTTGGTTTCTTTGAACTTAATCACTTGATTTCAAAGCCTTTGTTATCATACATTCAAGATAGAATCTACTCTTTAAACTTGATTAATAATGCTGATTGAGTTTGTTTTGGTTATGATGACTATAATAAAATATCTTCATTAGTTTTATTATTCCATTGAATTTATGTGATTAGTCACTAATTTACATGATATTTTAAATCGTTCAAAATCCATTTAACTGAATAAGGTAATTGTAGACATGAAAAGTTAAATTTTTAAATATTTTCACTGGTGATTATGTTAATGTTTATCAAAAATAAGAAAATTTCAATTCGCATACTAATTTTCATCAAGAACAAATATCAATTGATATCTTCTAGTTAATATTGCCCTGGTACGACCGCGGGTGGAGAAAGTCAGCTCCCCCTCCTCGAAATGCTCTTACATGGCCACGTGTATACAGCCACTTCCAGGGAATGTTCTACTTACTACCTTCTCGCGGTAGAGATTTTGTTTACGAAAGTAAGAGGACGAAAAGCGAAAACCCGGTGCTTTAACTGGGTTGATGAATATAGACGATCCACCTTAGGGGAGTTGGAAAACCCTTATTCCAAACCAATAGTGAACGTTGGCTCCAGGATCCTGAGGGAACGAATGGCGTATGAAATTGTTGTTGGTCACCGACTACCATGAAACTGCGTCTCGACGTTGCTCCACTACCTTTTGGATTAGACCTTTAGGTCAAAGGCTGTGGGTGTGGCCTTCGAAGAAAACCACCTGCTTCGGTTTGACCGCCTGGGCAATATTCAGGCCCTCATCCAAATTAAATGACAAAGTGTGACGCATATGTATTTGGTGCCTCCTTGTGCCAATGTTTATGCGTTTAAATAAATAAGTAAATAAACATCAAATAAATCTTTTATACATGTTTGTTTACCTGTTCTTTGTTATGAATCCATTACAGGTATATATGAAACAGCTCTAGCAGCTGGTTTCACTAATCCAGTTGATGTATTGAAAATTTGGCGTAGTTATTGTGATCATCATTTGCGTAGACTTCTTTTATTAGATAAGAGTTCTTTATCTTGGGGTAAGTTCTAGAACTAATCCCATTCATTTTCTTATTATTCTACCTCATTATATTGGATTTTAATTTTGGTGTCTATTTACATATAACTATGTTATAATTGCCTGGAGGTAACTGACACTGAACGTAGGTTTTGCGGATGGTTGGCACAATTCAACAAGACGAATTCAAAAGATTCAAGGAACTGCAATTAGATCCCTTACCACAGAGATTTTTGAACTGCAAGCAATGTAGAAATAATCAAGTCCTACCGATTTGCACTAAGGGCTGAATATTATGAGTGGTTACTACGAAGTGATTAGTTAATGTATAGATATTGATTGCTTACAATCTTGAGTTTATGTAATTCGTAAAGCAGTTGGTTCAATATTGACCATCAATGAAGCCGCTTTAATTTTGTTCTGACTTCAGTATTTGGAAACTTATTCAGAAACTTCTGATTATGAGACACTGTTAATTGGCCTTAATATTAAAACACTGCTTACACATAAGTTAGATAAGCTTCATTATATAATTTAAATGTTGGTTAAATAGATATTATGAAATCTGTCACAATATTCACACTTTCACGGAGAACTTATAATGAAACAATAATATTTAAAATACCTGGGTATAATAAAGCAAGGACGGTGGATAAAAAGGAAAAAAACCTGAAATGTCGTTTTTACTCAACGTTAATTCACTTTAATTGTCTATGACTAGTCATTCTCAACAGAGCACAGCAACCTGTAACTAACCATACATAACTCATATCTCAACCACTAATAGGATATTCTTAATGAATTTCTTTTTACTATGACATAAACTGAAATATTCTTTCTTTATAACCTATTTCTTCTATTTTTAGAATATCGACTGTCATTACTTCGAGCAACATTTGGTCGAGCTATAGAATATTGTTTTGAATGTAAGTTCATTCTGAAAACGACTATAAACATGCATTTAATTGCTTTTTAATGATGTAATACTATAATAACAATTTGCATATTTGAAAGCTCCAATCACAGGGAAAAATGATATCCATATAAATAAATATTCTATATATCTACTATTCAAAATGAATTCAATATGTTGTGAACAGCTATGATGTATGTAATCAGTCAGTTTTGGAAAATGCCGTATTGGGGGAAAACTTAATCCGAATCAATAAAAAAAAACAGGACATGAAAATATGAATCTAGTTCCTTAAGACTTCAGAATTTCATAGTTAATCCGCAAAAACATCTCAAACTGCACTATAATTACCTTGTTTTCTTTCACTGTTATTATCAGTTTTTACAGCTGAGAAATTTCAGTGTCCGTGATGTGGAATTTCTCAAATACAACTTCTGAGTACGGCAACCAATTTTGATTTAAGATGATTGTAAGGTCAACTTTCAATACATTTTCGTTACATTACTGTTATGGCTTCAAGTTGTGGTCGATTTTTACCCTGTGCTAATTGTTGTGTCCTTGACTGGAAAATTAGAGAGCAGCGTACTTATCGATCGATTCAATGACACGTAAACACGTACGGACGGCCTAGAGTCTCGATTGGTCTCGCTTCCCTGTCTAGCCCAGTCATTTGAGTCCAGAACACAAGTCACAGCCTCGGAGATATGAATCATTATATTTCAAACATACTTTGTTTATATACCAATCAAACAGACCACATCGTACCATAAAATAGAAAACAACATTTTGTACAATATTCAACAAGTGAACAGATACCGACCAATAGGAAATGTCCATTTAAAGTCCAAGGACGCCATTGGACTTAACATGATAATTATTGGTCTATTCTTCCGCATTCACAACAATTACTTTATGAACATTCAGTGGATTTTCACTGTGATTTGTGTTTAGTGATAAACACCCAGTTCATTAATTCTAGTCATTGTGACAGTCATCACTTACAAAACTATGATTCAGAAACCGAACTTCACTCTCTCTAGTCAGTGTGGCGCAAGGAAGAACAGAAAAGTAGTTTTGTTCACTATATTCAAATCTGGATTGCGAATATATTAGTTTAATATATCGATTATCTCCCAAACCGGCTGGTTAAAAAGTGATGAAAGATATTACTAGTTTTTATTCTTGATTGTTGACCTATTGAATCAGTGTGTAGAACTGAATAGCAGCATTATCCTACAGAACACCAGAGTCTAGATTAGGATGATTATTATACGATGACGTTGTTTAGAAGCACTAACTACTATTCAGTTGCTGAGTATTATGATGACCAATATAATACATCAATGATATCAATTTTGTAAAGCAAACTTAATTATTTAATGCCAGCAATCACGAGATCTGTGTTCAACTCATTTCAGTTTCATTCAATATAATATACACAGTGATTACTATACCGCATGGAGTTTTTTTTAACTTTAGCAGTTATATTGCAAACGTAATCTCTCTATATACTTATAGTTTTTTCTCGCAAACAGACTTCAAACTGAAGCGACATTCAAGACCAAGAAGCATGAGATTACTTTTTTATCCCAGCATGGGAATTTTCAGCAGTACGCTTACATAACTCCTCCAGAGGTTGGGCCTGGGGTCTCCAAGCCTCCAGCTACGAAATTCATATCTCAATAATTTCGTTTGGATTGAGCATAATAAATATTACTACATTAGTTATTGTTTCCTGATTAATTTCTATCTTCAGTTTTACATACTTGAGGTATCTTCAATAATGTTATATTTTTCATTTATAGTATTGCACTCTCAATCAAATGTTGATTGGTCACTTTTAAATTATTATGCATTTGTTGAAGTGAGTTTCTTTTACATTCTGAATGAACTATGTACTTCTTATTTCTACATGATTTTGTGGGAAGAAAGCAAATTAGATAAAATTCCTTCAGATTTCTACCTCAATTTTTAGTAGTCGAGATCGTAGTAATACTCTACTAATAAGGTTATGGATTATACATTTCTCATTTAATGAGTTTTAAAATGTGAATTTAGGTTAGAACGTTCATCGAGAATCTGATAATTTTCGGTATCGGGTTGAGGAGATGGTTATATATACCATAGTAACCAATAGAAATAGGTGTGAATTACGTTAGATCACTATAGTATGCAGATTATAACACTGTAAAGGTGTGAAAAATTGCAATAAAGACTTATTGTAACTACATCAACAGTTTATGGTAATACTGATTCAGATTAATAGTAACAATTTTTAGTGACCCTGTATCTGACTCAAATGAAGTTGTGTGCTGATTGTTATCAAAATATACATGCCACCAATTTTCGTATAATTTTATTGACTTAATTCACGTTAGAGAATAATGGGATAAAATAAGCCAAATATGAGAATGAACTGTGAATATGTATATTTCATACAGTATTTGATTCAGACAGACAATCAGGGAAACGAAATGAAGGGAGCGAAGTGAAAGGAAATGGCGCGCAGCGGAGAAGGCGAGTGAGCCAACTCGTTTTGTTCAGGCGTGACTCGGTATTTTTCGTCAGACCGAAAATCGGTCATGGATACGTAATGAATAAGGGAAGCAATCAACTTACATACGAGCATATAAAAACAATCGGGGTTAATATGCGAACAAGTGGCAGGGTCAAAATGTGGCTTGAGAAGAGTGATTAAATTGGTCTGTCCAGAAGCTAGAGTAACCTATATGGGCTTGACATAGTACCAACCGCCACAAGTTTTTTAAAATCAGTGATCGTACTAAGCTACGAAAATTGGGACCTCAACCTGCTAAATCTCTTTATGTCCATAGAATTTTCCACAGACTTACATCAACTACTAACTATTGTGAACAAGACAAAAGCATTAATTCATTGCAGCAAAAAAGTAACAAGAAGTTGATTATAACGTGACTGCATACTAAAACAGACAGTGATTGAGATCAGATCACTCGGTTTCTAAGCTTGTGCATGCTAATCTCTCCATTTATTAATTGAATCACATTTGAAAATTTTTATTACTCATTAAAAACATTGTACAGAATGTTAAGACTCCAGACAATTCTATACGATCACAAATTGTACAGAATGTGTGTTAAAAATTTCATATTTCAGGTTTTCAGTTTAAATGTTGAGCATGTTGCACTTGTTTCTTTTTCATTTTTCAGGCAAAGTATGTTGAAGATAAAGAGCGTGCGCGTTCTCTGTGGACAAGTTTAATAAAGTTACCTGGACATGGGAGTCGAGCTGAATACTGGATACCTTATATTCAATTTGAACAGTTAGTAGTTAGACATTTTATCTATATATTGTTTAGTTTTATGGAATGCTGCTTTTATTTATTCTGAACTGACTGAAAATCAATTTAATATTTTTCTTTTCATGTGATTATTGATTCTTATTTACTAGGCAAGTAACAAGCTGTTGGTCGTACTCCAAACATTTTGGTATGAAGGCTAATAATATCACTCAAATCTCGATATATTTAGCGAGGTTCGAATTCCAAATTCATTGTCTGAAAAGATATATTCATTAAATCTTCTACTGTATTTGTGTTTTAAGAGATATTCACCACCTTTACCTGAACAGGACATTTGATTACTAATCCTTTAAGTCATTGAGTTTCGTTTTTTATTGAAATCAAGGAAATTTCACCCCACGTACAGCGTTACTTACAGCATTTGAAAAGATATAGTTACTCTCAAAAAAGGATTTCTGTAACTCAGCGTAGTTCGTGTATGTAAGTATATGCAAAGGGTAATCGTGTGGTGTTGTACAATGAAAAAGTTAGCTGAAGTAGTGTTTGACTTATGTCTAAAAAATCAGCAACCTAATTTATCAGGTCGAAGACATAATAAAAAAGATATTGTAGCAAACACTAGGAAGATGTGATCAGTAACCTCTCCTGAGAGAGTGGTTATGCTTATGTGTGTATCTTGAAGTACTGGGGCGGTAGCCATAGGTTCAGTGATATGCATGTGATGTGTGATAGACATTCTATTGTAGCAAATACATTTCGAAAGGAGCAGTGAACGTCTACCCTCCGAAGTCGGTGAATATACCTATATGTGTGCTTCGGGATGCACGGGATTAAACCCGTGCGTTAGTGGTATGTATGTAATGTATATTTGCTCACGGGGAGGTATGTCTGTATGTATACCAAGTGATACACGGACTAAAGTCCGTGTGTCACCTAGTATGCATGTACACTATGCCTATCCAGGGTAAGTAAAAGCCTCAAATAATCTTTTATTTACTCTCCTTGGTGCTACTCCCACAAGCCAAGACCTGCCGGGCAACGGTTCCCCATAAAACCACATCTACGTGGTGGGTTTGTGGGCCCTGAAAACATGGAATCTATTTCAGAAGGGCCACTGAGCTTCACCAGAAAAGACTCTACCAACCAATCTGGCTGGAACACCGTACCACTGATCTATACGTGCAGCGATTGATCTCCTGTAGGCAGATGTATTTATAATTGATTGATCACTGGATAGTGACCTATGTCAAGTTCTTCTTAGTGCTGATCGCTTTCTTATGCCCAGCAATGTGATATGACCGTTTTTCAATGAAAAATATGTTTGTTTATCTTTTTCCTTCTTGATTGCACCGTTAACTTTGTAGGACTTGGGGTGATATGAAAAATTTACTTCGAATATGTGCTATGGCTATTAATTCAATTAATTTTGACCAATCAGAATTAGTATTTCAAGTGGTTTTACGTGCAGTTGGTGAAATTGGGGTACCTGTTAAACAATATAGAGATATTATTACAAAAATACATGCACGTCGAGCTTCTTTAATGGAGTCTGTTAAAGATGTTCAATCGACAAAGTCAGATACTGAGGTAAGTAATCCTAGAAGAAGAAACTAATTAACTGTCCTAATTCCAAGCGAATTATGTTCCGAATATGCATTATTTTCTTCATTTACCTATCACTTTAATCCAGGAATAAATATGGAGGTGGAAATACTTCAGACAGTTATCTATCTTTGTGCTTGAACTCATGTTTATTCCTACACTTATTGATATTTTTCTACGACGTCTAGTTTGTCTACGTGGTTCGCAGTACCTTGAGACGCTACAGAGTAAAGTTTATTTTTCGATTTGTCTAATTCACCATGTTGCATGGTTTTCACCTGGTATTTGTCGGACAATTGGAATACGCGCTCCTCAACGAGTTGTCAAATGACTTGAATTTATTTTTTCATAAAGAGAATTTTCAAGTCAAGCAAATAATAATCCATTTAAATAGTTTTGTATGAATAGTCCATTTAAATTGTTTTTGTATGTCTTGACCAGGGCTTATTAACCAATATTATGTTATTACCTCATACAAGTTCAGTGATTCAGAATGATTAGTATTCTTTTCTATTTTTTTTCTCGTAGATACCAGTTAAATTAATGGAAACCAAATTATCTGGTTCAAGAAAACGAAAACTACCTGATCATCAAAATGATGCTGCCACGTTAAAATCAGCCAAAGTTAGTTTACTGGTTTGTGTTTTACAATTTTCCAATATGTTTCTGTAATTTTGTAATCGTATAAAACAAATTACAACATATTTCTCTTTCATAAGAATAATAGTTATTGTCAGTGTACTCGTGTAGCGATTCAACATAAGTTGCTCTGCATTTAGATTTTTTTTCCTAGGACCGAAGAAATTTTATAATAGAAAACTTCAGTTTCATAGTTATTTTGATGTTTCTGAAGTTTTAATTATGGGATTCATGTTCATTTGTTGTAATCATTTTTTGTACTCTTGGTGTGACAACTTTAGTACGAACCCCTGTATACACCTTGGTAATAGGTAGATAATTTGAAGTGTTTTTGACTAATTAGTATTTGCATGTTCTGTAAGAAAGTTAGCGATGTTATCGTTGTTTGGAATGGGGGACTATAGACTGTTCCCTTCAAAACCAATGGAGCGATCGAAAAAAACGAAAAAATCAATTTAGCCATTGGTGAATCACTACAGTTGTTCAACATCGTGCAACTTACCGAATGTAAAATTTCTGTCTTCATCAGCTTTAATTAGGATTAGAAAAAATGTAACCGCCGGAATAAAATGTATAGGATTTACTTGCATAATTTGTAAAACCGGGACTGTAAGACTGGATAAGTTGTATTAAAGTCTAAGATTCATTTCACACCCGATTAATTACGACTCAAGTACAGCAAACGCAATAAGAATACTGTGAGCCTAGTCTTCATCGACTTTTTACCAGATATTAGAACCCCAATTATCCTTGTTTATTCTCATCACTAATTGTTTTTAGTGGCCAGAATGCAACATACAATTCCAAGGGTAGTATATCTTGCAATAGTCTTTCTGTATTGTAGATTTCTAACGGAAAGCACATAGTCTTCTAAAGATTTTTATTCACAAGGTTCCATCTTGATATGGTGTATCCATTAATTCATGTGATTTCATGTTCTTTTTTTCTTTAGGTATCAAAACCTAATCCTACTTCTCATGGGACATTTGTTCCACACGATCCATCGAAAAATGAGTTTACAGTATTTGTAAGTAATCTTGATTATTCAGTCAGTGAGGAACAAATTCAGCATACTTTTGAGAAGGTGCGTTTTTAAACAAATATTTGTTATTTCCAACCGGTCGTTTGTTAAGTTTTATTCACCCATATTCTGAATTGATTGTCAACTGGTAGTATGAAATTTTAAGTTGGATAACGCATCGCATTCCGTTTTTCACAGCGAACACTTATCCGCTTGATATTTCTCTGTTCAGTGGTATCGAGTTTCGGTGATCATTGTTTCACTCGGTAATTGTTTCGTCGTTTCTCTACTCGTGAATTAACTATTCCTGATAATCATTACCCTTTATCCGTAAACAACTCACTGAAAGTGTTAAGGTATTTAAAACCAAACTATACATATTTGTCGATTATACGAAAATTATTTCATAGTGACACTATATCACTTTAGTTAACTGTATAGCACAAGTTTTTTTCCGCATATGCGGTATACGAGAAGCACTTTTCAGATTTCGAACTTACCATTTGACTTATAAATCAATTTTACTTTCATCATTATTAGCATTGTTAACAACTGGAATAAAAGGACAGTGTTTTCATCATTAAAACCGAACTCATAAATCATTTTTTTAATATTGTTAATTACCAAGCGTTGTGCAAAACTATTGAGCATTGTCATTAGAAGGTTTTAGATATAATTTGATGATTCCCAGTGTATTTTTAACATTATGTTCACTGGTCGAGATAGTTAAACTTGTCAAACTCTCTATAAACTAAAATTCACGTCTTTTAATCGTTTACTGGTATGATGTGTGCTATTGATGTCGATGTATATTAGTAGTATATATCATCAATCGAAAGTGAAATACATGGCTGCAGAGGGTTAAGAAGATCGAAGAAAAGAGAATGATTGGTGTGGAAACGAAGGAACAATGAATTCTGAGACGATTGACTGATCTTTTTCAAGTGAAGTATTTACTGTATGATTCTCAGATTTTGCTAAGAGATTCTGTAATTTTGTGTTCAAATACATTCGATTGTCCCCGCTTGTTTTCTCGTTCACTACGCTGGAAATGATTGTTCAATGGTATGGTAGGGAAAATTTGTTATTAAACAGGTCCTTAATATTGATCTTCAGATAGAAAAGTATTTCCGTATGTTATGGAATCTATGGTGAAATACGCTTTACATAACTCCTTCCACCGAAAATTCTACAACAGTATCACTATCTATATTCATCTACTAACTGCTTATATTCTTGGATTATCAGTTTTTGTCTACGTTTCCATAGTGAGTTATTCAATGTCTGAGCTTATATATGTATGTTTTACAGTATTCAACGTTTGGTTGATGACGTCATTTGGAAGTATGTCTTGGAAATAGATTCAGTCACAGACACCTATTATACCTTTAGCTTAACAATATTTATTGATGAGTTTTATGCCCGTGTCATCTGTAGATATTTTCAGATACGTTTATATTGATCTATAGAATGATTGTTTATTCTGTGTACCATTACTTATACTATGAACAGTTGCTAAAATTGAATCATCCAAATACTTGACTACTTTGTTATACTACCACCAAAAGCAGTTAACTCTCTTTTTTATGACAGTGTGGAAATGTGACATCTGTTCGTCTCGTACGTGATTACGCTGGTCGGTCGAAAGGATTCGCCTATGTTGAATTCGAAAATAAAGAGTCTGTGAAAAATGCACTTACACTGGATAGACAAGGAATTACACGTCCGACCTCAGAAAGTGTGCCATGTGACGCTGATAGCCAAAAACAAAAAGAAGAGGATAATGCAACAATTCCAAAACCACCTAATTGTTATGATCGTCCAATGTTTGTATCGATATGTGATCCAAGCAGACTTAAATCATGTGGATTTAAATATACGGTTGGCAAAAAAGAACCTGAAAAGTTATTTGTGCGAAATTTAGATAAAGCTGTAAAAAATGAAGATTTGGAAAAGTTATTCAAGCAGGTTAGTTCAAGCCTACATATATAGTAATATATATGTATAAGTAAACTGGTTCAGACAACTATGGTTGAACAATAGCCATGGCTAGGTGGAAAATCCCCCTATTCGCAATACCCACCTACACTTGCTTCGCAAATATATCATGTAGCCTTCTTGCAGCGTGTAATCTGTTCGTCGTTGAAACATCATGTGATTCGTTCGGTACGTCAGTACTACAGAACAATCATTGAATCATACATAGATCATCTAAAATCGTTTACTGAATAAATAAATATTCTGATTTTAATTCTCACCACAGTGTTACTTCTTACTAAATCTAATCTGATCTGCTGTGTCACATGGCTACTACTTTTATGTATGGACTGGGTGAAGCTTGATGATGTTATGTAAAACAATATAAACGTTAAATTATTTCTCATTGTACTATTCAATCGATCAGCATCGGAGCGACTGTCACTTTAAAATTGGGCTTAATGTTTACTACACAACAAGAGGAGTGAGTGAAGGTCTGGCTCATCTTATTTTAGACACAAATATTTCACTCAATGGAGAAAAGTAGGAAATATAATACCTACATAAAATAAGAAAAATAGATAGCCTCAACTCCCAGCTCTAATGTTTTTATTCTGACAGCAAATTATTGGTGGATTCATAACTGCTTACATGAGGGCTCAGGTGCGCAACATATGTTGATGACACGATATTCCAACATCTTAACTAGTGGACCCTGTTATCATATTACCTTTACGCCTCAGTACAGTCAACACTATGAATTCACATTTATTGCTTTTAGTTTACCACTATCCATACAGCTTCTTTAGTTTGATAGGACCTCAAATAACAAGTAAACTTTGACCGCTATGCCAAGTTAGTGGCTACGGTTACGTTCAATGTAATTTCTCTTCACTTAAAGTTTTTCATGTCTAACTGACTGTTCTTAATATCCTTTACTTTTATAGTATGGAAATATTGTGAGTATTCGTCTAGCAACATATCGTAACGGTGTCCCAAAAGGTCATGCCTACATTGAATTCACGAATGCAGATGATGCCAGTAAAGCGTTAGTTGCCACAAATGGCTTAGAATTCAGAAATAAAATATTGTCAGTATCTATTAGTGAACCACCTGTACGTGATGGAAGTGGTCCCCAAGGTTGTAAATCAATCACATCAGAAGACAAAAAAGTGTTCAAAACCCCCCAAATTATTAATTTGAGTGGTTCTCATCCCGTCGGAACTAGTGTGTACGTTCTATTACTTATTTGTGCAATAGCGTTTATTGAATTATGGGATTATTTTTCAAGCGGAAAGGTTCCGACAAAGCATCTGGGCTATACTCTTTTACTGATTAATTTATCTTACCGTTGCTTATTTGTGTGTATATCCTCATGATTTGTCACGTAGTTACTGACAACGAATGTACTCGACAAAACATTTAGCTTCAGTCTGTCAAATTCATGGAAACACGTTTTGTACTTCAAGTATTGATACTGAATCGGACAAACTACCGACTTTAAACTAATATAAAATCCATTACCATCTGCTACGGTCTGTAACTTCGGCTACTGTAAAAAAATGCATTAAAAAAAATACTGTATACTAAATCTCTGCCATAGAATATATCAATAAATCAACGGTTACAATCAGAACAGCTATCCATGTTGTAATGCGTGGCTTAAAGTTTACGATGTTAACGATTATTCAACTTACTCAAGAGTTTGAACTTTACTCAAACGGATTGATTACAGATAGGCATCATGTCACTTATCGTTAATGAGGTATATTTTATTTTCTTAGTTCTCACCTTAGTGTCTGCTGTTCAGCAGTTTCGCCATAACAGTATGTCAATTAATCTTCCATAGTCTGTAACTGCCATAGAGTTTTCACTATGATTATACATCTGTGTCAGTAACTATTCACGAAATTCGGAGGTCAACAACTGGCTAATCTTCGTCCTTTACTGAAACAACTAAGAAGCATACTGGTCAGTTCTCTCGGACACTTATTATCATATACATGAGTCCTAATATGTATATCTATCTATCCATATATATGAGACAGTGTTATTGCTAAGTGCATGTAGCATTTCTAAAATATGTCCAATATATGAAATCTGTGAGGCTGATACTAGTTCATGTTTTATTGCCATAAAATCTTTTACATCAGAAAATTAGTAATCATTTCGAAATTTTGGTTTGGTTTAAATCATGACTCTATTGCTGGCAATATGTAACAAATAGCTCCACAACCTCATGTGTGACAACTTTTATCCTACCATTACCATTTTGACTACAGAGTTCCTAATACACTGAGTATGTATTTGCTGGTTTTCTTCTCATATGGTTTGTATATTTCATTTGATCTTTGTAGACGGAAATCACGAACGCAGTTAGAATTTTTGCCTCGTGCAGTTCATCGAACACGTGAAATTCAAGATCAAGTGTCAGAAAGTAAGATGGATACTGAAACTATCGACCCTGAATCATCCACCGTTACTGGTAGTAAGGATAATGAGTACTTTCGAAGACTATTGAAGTGACGCACGACCTAACTTTTCTCTTGTAAATTATTGAATATCAATTTTTATAATAAACCCTATGGTCAGTTTATTGGCATCGGTATCCCAAAAGCCAGTTCTTTCTAAGCTTCTTGTTAGCTAAACTTTCTGGTTAGTACTTTCCTAACCTTCCTAATATACTTGATCAACTGAAAATACGGATGAGATTTCTTATCGGTTAAAAATGTGTGTAATGCGAAATGTGGTGTAATTACTTCTACAAAGTTTGACTGCTAATCATAAGAATGTAACACGCTGTAATTATAAATTATAAGCTTGTTCCATTTTAACGGGTGCTTGATCATAAGCTAATGCTCAAAATATAAGGTACGAGTTCTCCCAAAGTGTCACAGACGCATGATATTTAGACCACAGTACTCAGCCAAGCATCAAACAGGATTTGGACCTCAATCGTCGTTGAAGGCATTTGGAACGTGAAGTGATGTTTTGTTGTTTACTGCCTCAAGGAATCTTATGTGGCGACTGAGAGCGTTGCTAACATGTAGTTTTCTAATGACTAAGCTTTGGCTTCGATCAGAATGCTTCGTTAAAATAAGGACGATATTCAAAGATATTGTTGCAACGAAAGCTCCTACTTTTTTCACATGCTTTTGCTGGAAATTACCTGAACTGTACTAGACATCTTACACTAATTGAAATATTCTTGTTGGCTAAGTTTTTCTAACATTATTATCGTCGTTAATCTCCCAGGAATTCGTATTTCCGTTTTTAAACAACAACAGTTTATTTAACATAGTCTGTTCTTCCTTAGGATTCTTCCATTTAGAAACACTCGTGTGGACTGTGAAGATCCTGTATACTGAGATTAAATAGGCGTGAATTTTGCATTTTGTGATAGTTTCTTTCGCACATATCATTCCATCAAGTGCACAACCACGTTAGCTGAGCCCGATACACCGAGAAAAAGCTTCCATTGGTTAGTTCCTACAGAACTGGTCAACTTGCTCTAATCCACGATCTGTCTCAATTTCCTCAAACAGTGCTTCTACATCAACGTAAGGAGACTTTGAATGAAAGTAGGAGAACTCAGGAAAATTTGTTTTCTCATGCTAACGGGAACGTGGCTTTCGTTTGAAGTCGAGTGACTTTTTCATGACTGACAAGGAGAAAGAGCGGCGATTTGTGTATGAGGTTATTTCGGCTTCACTATATCATTCGATGAAACTTATAGAAAGTTCTCTTATTTGTTGTTTCCCTTTACATGTATCGCTTCCCTGTTACTCTCTATATTCAACTACATGTTCATTTTTTGTTTCGCTTGTGGTAAGTATGATCATGTCGATTGTAATTTTTGAATGGCTATCAGCTCCCTGATATCCCTGGGGTTTACGGTTATTGTTTCGTGTTTTTTAACTTAACATTTCGATTTTTGGAGGATGCCATAATGGATGGCCGTATTACAGGATAATCTTGTTTAAGTTGGTTCATTAAATCTATCCCTAAAGGATAGAGACATAATCTCATTTATTATATGATCATTAATTTGTGGATTGAATGCTTACCATTGGGGGCGATTTGATTCGTTATTTTTTGAATAAAGCACTATTACTGGATTATTGGGAACCCTTTTATGTATTTAGCAACTGATTATACAATCTGTCGCTGAATTTTGCGTTCTTATCAGTTGGCCAAAGTTTTGTTCTGGCCGAATTTCGGTTTTTATATCTATTCTTGTTCTTAGCACATTTAGACTTTTCTACCTACTTACTACGTTACTATGTACTAACTGTTTCACCTTATCGCCTTTTAGTAACGTTAAAATACAGCCCATTATAGAATCATTCCGGTACAGATTTATTAAACCTCATTGGGTTTAGGATTTCACAAGGAGTTCTTTTCTCTTCTCAGTAGCACAAATGATCATTTATACCTCAGTCTACCTATATGTGTTAGTACAATTAGTGTATCGTTCATTTAACTATGAAGACAATAGTCTCTTAAATTGGAATATCGATCTAATTTCAAGCCAATCATCTACCAAAGGATCGGGAGGTCAGAACTAGTATATGACACTCGCCAATGAAGATGCATATTTACCCGGACTTAGTCGTGCGGCTAGCTACAATACGTTTGAAGATACTGGGGGTCGCATCTCACTTGTAGTATCAGTGAGAAACAATCGGACTATCTGAAGGTATGATTAGAATCCCGTGTTACTACATATATTCAAGTTATAAAGCAGCAAGTGCTGTGATAAAGGGTAGTGCTGTGAGTAGTTTCAGTTTTTGGACTTCTTAGAAAACTAGAGTAGCGTTCACTCATGATGTGAAACAAAACAAATTGACGGGGCGTGGATTTGCGACTCTTCGTGTTTCCTTCTGAATTCATGCGTTGTTGAAATTCGAATACGGTTATCAGGATGATTAATAAACGGAGTCTAAGGAATAACGTGGAAGCCAAAGCACTACAGGACTGCTTCATTCACTTTAGAAAAGTAAACAATTGGTATTGTCAATCACAAGTCAAACGACATCTAGAATAGTAACGATAAATTACATATAATATTAAATAATATGATCAATAAAATCGGATAAATTAAACCATTGGTTGATCAACAGTCAAAACGTATATGCACATAACTTACGAAAACGACAGATTATGTGACTTGCTAAGGAAGTGCATTTGGGATACAATCAGCTGGAGAGTGACGTAGTAGTTCCCAAGGTCGTCCAGTCATCACGTGCAGAGCAAAACTCTGTTGTGAAGCGTTCCCTCACACAGCTCGCTCATGAAGAAATGTTCAGGAGCGTGGATATGGTAAGGAGGTGGTTGACGCACCGGCGTAGGTCCTCTCTGTTCAACTGATAGCTGTATCTGCGTCATTACGATTTCCTTGTTCTAGTTCGAACTCATATCCGGTGGCTGCGTAAGTGTCAATGAAAGAATTTGTAAGTATCGGTCCTGATTATCGGGCAGAGTAAGGAAAAGTAATTTGAATATAAATTGGACCTCTCTGTATTGTGTTCGGAGGCCATATTCATCTCACATTGATACCATAATATTGTTCTTTAGTATTCTATCCACTTCGTTAAGGGGACATAGATTAAATTAAAGCATATTCCATGAACGATTGGCGAATTTTTAACCAATCAGCACTAGTCGATACTTGGAAAAGACTACAATTTCCTCACGCAAAAACTATAAATATACTAACGTTTTGTGCTCCGTACTTCCACCTACCCTTGTCATTTGGAATATAATTTCCTTCCTGTTCAACCGTGTTCTGATTCGGTACTTGACTGCATTGGTGTCCAAGGATATTAGGCAATAGAAATAGCCGGGTCGTAATAAAAGAATTAAAACAGGCTTGTAAATTACTTCGTGTAATAACTTATCCAATTCCAAATTAATTGCGTTGAATTAAGGCGAGCTCTAGTAGTCATCTACCGCATCACTTCTCTGAGGTTCGCTGGTGACACAGATCGATTAATGCCGAATAATACTGGAGGCTGAATTTGAATACTGCAGCAGGCTGCTCGAAAATATCAAAATCGATTAGTGTCCAGTCTCTTCTGTCATAGCAAACATTCGACAATCAACAGGATACAAATTGCGTTTTCCCTATCCAGCCTTCTCTACACATGATTCCGTTGGAAACAATCCTCACCAATTCCTATAATACGATCAAAATCAAACAAGACATCACTGTAGCCATGAACCGAAGGCATAGATCAAGGACATCACCGACTGCTGTCCAAAACCTAGCTTTTGTCAACAGCAAGGAGCATAGGGTGGCTGTTAGAAAAATTTATCAACTGCATGGCTCCCAAAACGCTGAAAATCAAAGCTGAAGGTATCAGAAAATGCATAGAATGGGTGCGACTGTTACACCGGTGTGGTGATCAGAATGTGGCCAAATGTCCACCTTATCAATTTAGAGCAACTTTGAATGCAGTACATGTTACGGAACAAATCTCATTATCGTTCTAGCGGTCATCGGTTAGGCGTTCATCTCAAATTCAAGTTAGACGTAACGAGCGTTAAGATGTAGAACGTGCCACTATAATATCACCAACAAAAGAGCATGATGGTCTGTGGAGTGCTCGAACTGTAACGTACTAGTCTGGACGAAGCTCTCGGACACTATGTGTTAAAATGACGTTAGCTATCACGTAACATAAACCTTCATACTACTGTGAAAATAAGCGTGTCACAAAATCCTCGTTCAGTATACCTTCGTAACTATGGGTGTTCATCTTCATGTCGATAGAAGAAATCAGGTAAGTGATCGAATAAGACTTTATTCAGATCATGGAACATAAGAGTTGGAGCTCGAAGTTGTCCTTTTCAAGCACAAGGTTTTCAACAATCAACATAAAAATAAGAGAAATATGATGTTACACAAAATGATAATTAAACGAATACTTGGGTCATAATGGTTTGCCGTTACTAAAATGTTAGCGGATAACTCCTTACCAATCAATCTAAGTTGTTACAATACCTCACAACAGTTGATTCTCCGAGCCTGATGACTATCAATTCCAGAAGATGAGAGAATCTAACTAAAGCTCTTCAGGCCTGATTCCTAGTGAAGACTGTCTTTTTCAGACTTATAGGCTGTAAATGAGAACTAGATTAGCATTCGACGGCGAAGAAGCCAAATATTGCATACCCTAATGTCCGTCTACCTCGATCAACAAAACACGGTATATGACATATCGGGGGGCAGAAATTGTAATTTCTGTAATAATTGTACATTTGGGCGACGCCAACGAGCATGATATTTTTGGAAAAACTTCGAAATTAGACTGATCGTTCATAAATTATCTGATTCTGATCAAGATTTATCATACTTAAGGATCGACAGGCAGCACTGATTAGGGGACGGTCATTTCCAAACCGTCACAAATGAGATATATCCAGAACCAAACGATAAGTTGGCAGCTTATTTTATGAGCCTCATTCGACCATTTACAGGATACAAATTGCGTTTTCCCTATCCAGCCTTCTCTACACATGAT